AAAAGAAAGAAGAAGAAGAAGAAGAAGAAGAAGAAGAAGAAGAAGAAGAAGAAGAAGACAGGGATCCAACCCCAAAAAAAACCAAAAACAGTAACACAAAAAGATCTAACATTTATGTGAAGGCCAAAGTCTAATCCTCATCAATGCCATATCCTTAACCCAAGAACAGTAACACAAAAGATCTAACATTTAATGTGAAGGCCAAAGATCTAACATTTAATTCGAACAACATTCGATCAACGAGCACTTGCCCCGCTCCCGAGCGTGAGCTCGAGCTCGTCCATCCCCACCTCGTGAATCCTCTCCCCTTCCCACGGCTTAACCGCCCCACCACCAAACACCCCATCGAAACCGAACTCCGGCCCCTTCCCTTTCCCTTCATCCACCGCCATGGCATCGTCCTCCGGGCCCGGCCCGCGCGGCCGAGCCACAAGGCTGAACGTTGGGCTCCTCGGAGGAATCCCGGGCCCAGCATGGGCCCGGAAACTGATCCACCGTCCAGAATCAACAGTCGACCCGTCCGACTCGTCGCACTCCGGTATAGTCGCAGGCCCAAACCGGGGCCCACGTCCCGGGCTGGCGGGTTCGGAGGCTGCTGCGAAGAAGGGGATGTTGAGTGCTGACATGGACTGCCTGGCGAGGGCCTCGAGGCTGAAGGGCGGAGGCTTACGGGTCGGGGATGAGAGGGGAGGAGTGACGGGAGCACTGTTAGATATACGGAGGGGAGGGAGGAGAAAAGGGAGCTGGCAGTGGTGGTGGTTCGGGTCGTTACGGGTCGGGCTTGGGAAGGAGGATGAGGTTGGGCTGGGCTGGTAGGAGGGAATCGGGCTCGCGAAGTAGGAGGATGGTGGGCTCGGGTTTCTTGAGGAGCCTCCGATTTCCATTGGGCTTGGTGGCTTGCATCCCTGTATCATCATAATCATCATCATCATATCATACATGGCATGAGTATATCAAGATAAATGGTCCATAGGATATGAGATATCAATCAAAATTGATTGAATCATTTTTTTATCAAAGTTCTTGATAGAGTTTGCAGAACACTTCCCTTGATAGAGAACTTTATATGCTTTTTGAGGAAAATTTTATACATAATTAATGGATCCAACATTGATGGATCTAATTAAACAGTTGATTAAGCAATCAAAATCCCAGAAAGAAAAATAATAAAAAAAAAAAA